GTTCCTTGAATTATGCATATTTACAGAGGCTTTTGCTGTCGTTCGTGAAGCTGCAAAAAGGAAGCTCGGTATGCGTCATTTCGATGTGCAGGTCCCTATTTCTCGCTCTTAATTTGTTCACAGTTACATTTGTTGTGCTTGTGCATATAGCTTTATCTACATATGTAACTTTATGTGTATTTATTAACGTAATGTTCACTTTTTATGTTTGTATATGTTGTCAATTTTGATGCCAGATTATAGGTGGGGCGGTGCTTCATGATGGGTCCATTGCAGAAATGAAAACGGGAGAAGGAAAAACGTTAGTTTCCACATTAGCAGCATATCTTAATGCGCTGACTGGTGAAGGTGTTCATGGTATGCTTCTGTGTTGGTTGTAATAGAAATTTTGTGATTTGGATACAGATATAGTTGTAGAATGGATGGAATGTCCAAATTGTCTCCACTGGTACATTTCTATGCAAATGTAATCTGCAGTGTGTTACAAACTCTTGCATATTATTTTTTCTTTTTGTTGGGAACTTTCAGAAATTAAAATGTTTTTTTTAATGCTCTCTCTCTCAACACAGTGGTAACTGTAAATGATTACCTTGCTCAACGAGATGCTGAGTGGATGGGTCGTGTTCATCGCTTCTTAGGTCTTACTGTGGGCCTTGTTCAGGTAATTTTCTGTCTCTGTATATTTTTTTATCTCTCTGCAATAGACTTGATTCCAGATACGTGATTCTAGGGACATGACAGCCTGCAAATGATTACCTTGCAATTTATGTATATTTTATTTTAATATTTATTGTGCATTTATTCATATTTGCAACATAGAGGGGGATGACAGCTGAAGAGAGGAGATCCAACTATAGCTGTGACATAACTTACACTAATAATTCGGTAAGTCAATTCTACTGCTTGTTGGTAGTATTGCATTTATTTTACTTTTTATGCTTTTATGTTAAAACGTCTTCTAGTCTTGGTGTAGATGATTATGAGTTAGTGCATTCCATCCAAAAAAAATTGAAAATTGCTTTCTTTCTGATATCTCATTCATAATGAGTTACTCAGGAACTTGGTTTTGACTATCTACGAGATAACCTTGCTGGAAGCAGTGGGCAACTTGTTATGAGATGGTACATCTCAAATAATTTTAGTTTTGTAAATACTTGTTTTAATAAAAAAATAATTATTAGCAGTTTTGCTGTGTAAAAAACAGGCCAAAGCCATTTCATTTTGCCATAGTTGATGAAGTTGACTCAGTTCTTATTGATGAAGGACGAAATCCGTTGCTAATTAGTGGAGAGGTAAGTTTTCTAATGTTTCTTTATAGAATATCTTTATGTAATAGTGCGAATGCTTACTATTTTGTAGTGGCTCAATGTGGCGTGGTAATGTGTAATTCCATTTAAAGAAAGAGCTCATTGTTGTAGATTTATGATTTTTTGATGCTTGTCCTTCTTTCTCAGGCTAGTAAGGATGCTGCACGCTATCCTGTTGCTGCTAAAGTGGCTGATTTGCTTGTGCGAGACATTGTGAGTATAGTCTCTTCCTTTTATTTTCAGATTTACTCTTCTGTAGGTATTCATTTTATTTTCCCAATGCATGTATATGTATATTTTTTTCTATTAAATGTCAAGAATTATTTATGTCTCACAATCATCGGTTCTACAGCATTACAAGGTAGAACTTAAAGATAACTCAGTTGAGTTGACTGAAGAAGGAATAGCTCTTGCTGAGATGGCCCTTGAAACAAATGACTTATGGGATGAAAATGATCCGTGGGCTAGGTAAAGGTGTATAGTATATGTTTAATTTTAACTTCTTCCTTTTTTTTTTTTTTTTTGAGGTGGGGTTCGAATCTATAGTTATAAAATATCTTGCATTTGTTTCAACTTTTTAATTTAGGCATGAAATTTGAAATGTGTAGATTTGTGATGAATGCATTGAAGGCTAAAGAGTTCTATCGGCAAGATGTGCAATATATTGTCAGAAATGGGAAGGCTCTCATAATAAATGAGGTATGATTTCTATTTAGATTATGCAGAATTGTATTTGCAAAAGATAAATTGTGTTATGCATCATAGTTTTAGGTACCTTAAATAAATTAAGAAAGACCAATATGTTGACATTTCTCTAGTTTCAATCGAGAAGTGGGTTATAATTTATACCCAATGCCACTTTTATGGATTGTGAATTGTCTTGGATCTAATCATCATGTTGCTTATATTGACAGCAGAAGGGATAGAATAATAGAAAGAAATGTGGAACATAAATTCATTGATGCTGCATTTTATAACAATTAGTAATTGAGTGTCTCATTGAAATAGAAACTGAAGTTCTTAAATTATTTTCAGCTAACTGGCAGAGTTGAAGAGAAGAGAAGGTGGTCTGAGGGGATTCATCAGGCTGTGGAGGCTAAAGAAGGCTTGAAGATTCAGGTACATCTGAAAGTTGGACAATTAGTGCTTGAAGTTTTTCTGCACCTATAATTCATTACCTGGAGAATATTCCGTCTTAGTTCAAAGTTGTAATATCAGTATACCTTTTAGGCTGATTCGGTGGTTGTGGCACAAATCACTTATCAATCTCTATTCAAGCTCTACCCAAAACTTTCAGGGATGACTGGGACTGCAAAAACTGAAGTATGCCTGTTTACAATCATTTTGACATTGTATTTTCTAAAGGAATTAATTGCAAATATTCATATTTGCATGTTTAATGTTAAATTCTCCTCGATCATTTCAGGAGAAAGAGTTCTTGAAAATGTTCCAAGTGCCAGTTATTGAAGTACCAACAAATCTGCCAAACATTCGTAATGATTTACCTATTCAAGCTTTTGCGGTAGGATATTTAACCCTTAACCTCAATTTTATCTGATATCTATACCTCCAATTAAAGTCTATCATCAACTTGACTGAAGGTTTCGGTTTGTATTTTTTTAGACTGCTCAAGGGAAGTGGGAATATGTTCGTCAAGAGGTGGAATACATGTTCAGACAGGGGCGTCCTGTTTTAGTTGGGAGCACCAGGTAAATCCAATCTAATCTGTTTAATTTCATGGACTTGGTTTGCTGTGATTTTAATATACGCTGCTGCTATGTTATACATTCTTATGTGTCAGTGATCATAGATTATAAGCATCCAAAACTTTTTAGATTTTGTACTTTGTGAACTGGAGAATTTTGTGTTATTTCATGGATAATGAAGCATTTTTGGTGCCTTTTATAATCTTCCCGGCCCTGTAGGTTATTTAATTAGGTCATGGAGGGACAACTTGTGATATAAAACGTAGTTGAATCAGAAAGTACTCTTGTATTTCAGATAATGCTGCTGAAACTTTTTTCTCAGTTTCTATTTCAAACTTTTTCAATGTGGTTACATATGTGTGGAGGCATGTTTTTGTTTGGGCTTTTTATAGAAATTCCAATGGTATTTGGATCAAATGTAATATCCTTGATGCTAATTACTTGGATTTTGTTGGATTCATCTAATCATATTTACACTGCATACATTTAGGTACAAGGAGACATAATTATTTTGGTCAAATTTATGTTTTGAGTATGCAGACATCAGCTGATCTGTAACTATGATTTCTCATCTTCATAATGCAGTGTTGAGAATTCTGAGTACTTGTCTGATCTAAACTAAATACAAGAGTCTCTTAATAGCCTATTTATACTAGAATATAGAAAACCTAATTGACATAGGAATTAAAAACCTAAACAGGAAATTAAACCAAATCCTAGTAAGAATAGGAAAACAAGTAATAAAATAACCTATTAATTTAATATAACTAAAACTTAGCCTTATTGGCTGATGCCCACTTAGATTAGGAAAGTCTAATAGATGCTCCCGCATCACTGGTTGTTTTTACATTAACGTCGTGTTCATATACATTTCTCATCAGTATGCGGCAAGGGAGGCTGAAATTGTTGCCCAAGCAGGACGAAAATATGCCATTACCATTTCAACCAACATGGCTGGCAGAGGCACTGACATAATTCTAGGAGGAAATCCAAAAGTAGGTGCCCTTGTCCATTGCTAATTGATTCAAAATGTACTGGTGTAAATGAACCCGTACTTTATTTCCAGGAGTTTATGAAATTGGGAACATGTATTTCATGCATATGCATCTATCCTTTTATCTAATGCATCCTTGTTTGGAGCCTCTGTGGATAAGTAGAAACTAGAAAGGTGGATTTAATTAGTTGTGTACTTGTTATGATTGAAGATGCTTGCAAAAGAGATCATAGAGGACAGTTTAATTTCGTTCCTGACACGAGAAGCTCCTAATGTTGACGTTGATGGAGAGGCAATTTCACAAAAGGTGATTCATTTTTTAACTGTAAGCTACAGACCAAATTGATTCTATTTCTAATTAATCATTTGTTGTAGGTATTGTCCAAGATAAAGGTCGGTCCATCATCATTAGCTTTTCTGGCTAAGACAGCGTTAATGGGTTTGTGACTGCTCTTTGACAAAATATTTTATGCTTATATAGATGCATATATAAAATCTTTAATATTTTATGGATTGTGCAGCTAAGTATGTTTCGAAAAATGAAGGCAAGAGCTGGACATATAAGGAGGCAAAATCTATGATATCAGAGTCTGTGGAAATGAGTCAGTCAAGGGATTTGAAGGAGTTAGAGAGGCTTGTTGATGAACAGTCGGAGATGTACCCTCTTGGCCCTACAATTGCACTTGCATATCTGTCAGTTCTGAAGGATTGCGAGGTACACTGTCTCAAAGAAGGGTCTGAAGTAAAAAAGCTTGGGGGTCTTCATGTGATTGGAACATCTTTGCATGAGTCTCGGAGAATAGATAACCAGGTGATTGTTTTTGGCGTACATTTTAAAAATCATATTTTATTACCATTTACTCATGAAGCATGAGTTTTGGCATGAAGTGAATTTAGATTTGATGTGGATTTCCAATTCCATTTTGGGAACTGTCAAGAGTTGTCTTTTATATATCGGTTCTTTCTTTCCTTTGACAATTTTATCTTTATTATGTTAGCTTCGAGGCAGAGCAGGAAGGCAAGGTGACCCTGGATCAACACGATTTATGGTGAGGTAATTCACTCTTCAGTGATTTAGGCTTGCACGGAGTCATCATGCATATGCTCACACAAAGACGTGGACGTGGTTTGTGGGTCTAAAATTTTTTTGGTCTATTAATGTTTATTGAGATGGTCTCATGATAAAAATAAAGAAAAACCTGGCCAAGTTAGCATAGCTCTCCTCTGCTCAGTCAACATTGCTTTATCTCAATCAATGTTTTAAGAACCAAACTGACCTGTCAGACTGGTTGAGTCGCTGATTAGTCATGATTTATGTATATGTAACCATCTTTATTGTTGGCCTGCATTGAACCATGCAACCTTCTGGTCCGACTCCACAATCGTTCTTTAACTGCACTTGTTTTGAGACTATTGTAAAACTCATGCAGAGCATGAAGTTTAAGAAGATTCCATCATTCCATACCTTATTATTTGTTCATTTATGTAACAGTTTGCAGGACGAGATGTTTCAAAAGTTTAATTTTGATACTGAGTGGGCTGTGAGGCTTATTTCCAAAATTACAAATGATGAGGATATGCCAATTGAAGGTGATGCAATTGTTAAACAGGTAATTGGCAAATCTCATGTTCATGATCAACTCATTCCACTTTATCTGATCTTCTGAGCCTGCTTGATGGGTCTCAATTAATTCTCTCTCTCTCTCTCTCTCTCTCTCTCTCTCTCTAACAGTATCTGCGTTTTATTAACTTGTACCATTACAATTTTAGCTCCTGGCCCTGCAAATTAATGCAGAGAAGTACTTCTTTGGCATAAGGAAGAGCCTTGTTGAGTTTGATGAAGTATTAGAGGTATGCGTTTGTGAATAACAATGTCTTTA